GGATGTGAAAGGCTTTGAAATCATCATCACAAATCAGCATCACTTGGGGGTTGCCTGGCAGTTGAAATTCCCTTTATTCCACGCAGCAATAACCTGCTGGTGTCCCTTCTTCCTGCAGAGCTCCCTGGCTGAGACCCTGGACAGCAGTGGCAGCTTGGATGCCCAGAGGACTGACATGATTTACACCATTGAGGATGTTCCTCCCTGGTACCTCTGCATATTTCTGGGCTTGCAGGTACATCCCAAAACAGTTCTTTCTTCTCTAACTTGGAGTTTCTCGAGGATTTTATGTCCATTTTGTGTGTGGGGGAGTTTTACCTTCCTCCACTCTCAGGTTCTGGAGCTCATCCAGGTGATTGCTCTGAGAATGGTTTGAGTTTTGATTTGTGAGATTCACTTCAATATTTAGAGTTGTTAGTAAATGAGTGAGGAAAGGCTCAGTGGTCCAAACAAATACATTCCAAATTATTCCTGCCTTTTCCTCAAGGACAGGCAGTTCTCTAGGAATTCCATTTCTACTTGTGTGTGGAGTATGGTGAAGATTTCTTTCTCGTTCTGCTTTTGATGTGCCTGGCTTGAGGAAGAATTAAGGATTATCCATCTGCTGGTCCTCGGGAGCTCCTGTGTGTGTGCTCCAGGTTGATTTGTGAGCCAGGGGATGTGACTGGAGGTATTTCTGGGCTCTCAGGAGAGTTACCTGGGTGTCTCCTCACGCAGCTCTGGAGGTGTTTCAGTTCCCTCTGTGTCTCATTAAGGACTTTGGGATTTGGGTTCTTTTTCCCTTTGAACTGAAGATTGACCAGAGGGAGTTTTCTCTTGTTTGGTCTCAGTTGTTTATTTTTCCTTATCAGCATTACAAGGTACAAGGAGAAAAATAGAAAAGGGGTAAAATGGCCAACAAAGATCCTCTTTGAGGTCTTTTATCTGTCCATTTACCCAATTAACAGGTGCCAACTCAATTATCTTTATTAGTGACCCAATGACCCAACACCTCTGTGCTGCTCTGTGACATTTTCTACCCAATCACCTAAAACCACCCAAAAACCTCCAGGAGAAGAACATGAAGAAGAAAGAAGGACAAGGGACAACCCCCTAAATCCTCATCTTGTCTCTTGTTCTCTAAACTTTTTCACCCAGTGATTTAAAAAACTTTCTAATCTACACACTTACACTTTTCCTGTCTAACTTTAGCATTTGTTTTCATGTATCACCATGAAAACACACTCATGAATTTCACGTTATATGAATTTCACGTTATGTGAATTTCACGTTATGTGAATTTCACGTTATGTGAATTTCACGTTATGTGAATTTCACGTTATGTGAATTTCACGTTCTATGAATTTCATGTTCTATGAATTTCACGTTCTATGAATTTCATGTTCTATGAATTTCAGTGTTTCCTTGAATCCTAAACTAAATATTAGAAACAGGGGCACACAGTGTGCATCTCAGACTGCAACCCCTGTGGATCTGACAGGAATCAGCCAGGAGATCTCAGGGTGACGGGAGAGCAGAGCTCAGGGAGCTTTGCTGGGGGTCCAGGAGGGAAAAAGAATGAATGGAATGAATGGAATGATTGACTTTGGTGTCCCCTCCCTGCTCCCCCAGCACTACCTGACGTGTTTCAGCGGGACCATCGCCGTGCCCTTCCTGCTGGCCGATGCCATGTGCGTGGGCTTTGACCAGTGGGCCACCAGCCAGCTGATCGGGACCATCTTCTTCTGCGTGGGCATCACCACCCTGCTGCAGACCACCTTCGGCTGCAGGTCAGAGCTGGGGCTGCCCCTGGGCGACCGCTGGGATCCCCCAGCAGCCAGGGAGGGGGTTCCAGAGGAGGAGCACAAAACTGGCAGCTGCAGAGGGAAAACTGCTCCCAAAAAGGGATCTGAAATAAAATATAAAATATAAAATATAAAATATAAAATATAAAATATAAAATATAAAATATAAAATATAAAATATAAAATATAAAATATAAAATATAAAATA